AATGGTTTAGATTCACAAATCAGCCCGGCAGATGGCCCAGTCGGTCTTCCTTTGCTTAATATCCTAATCGCTTTAAATATCACGCAGGACAACGTCTGTGGGGTCCACTAGTGTCCATATAAAGCCTTTTATTATTGTGTTCAATGTATACAAAAATAACACAATTTATATTTTTACATATCCTGGGACAAGAAGCCTCTTCTAGCTCCACCAATTTTTGTCACAGGCACACACAAAGGGCAGGGGATGGCACCCGCGCCGCGGCTTTCTATTGCCTAACATACATACTATTACGATATTACTAGGTTTTCAAAACGTTGAACCCTCAGTATACTATATCAAGGTATCAGGATTACCTTGATTGATTGCAATTGAGCAGTGTTGGCCAAGTGGCTGCAGCGTGCGACTCTAATCCCTGAGGTCGTAGGTTCGATCCTCGGCTGTGCACCAATGGACTTTCTTTCTATGTGCGCATTTAACATTCGCTCGAACGGTGAAGGAAATATCGCGAGGAAACCGGCTTGCCAAAAAAGTCGACGGCGTGTGTCAGGCACAGAAGGCTGATAACTTACTTGCCTCTTAGTTGACGAATGATAATATACAAGAATCTGAGGCCCAGACCTGAAGATGGTTGTAGCGCCACTGATTTATTTTTATTTATCAGGATTACCTATTGGAGAGATTGTATATTATAAAATATAGTGTGTTATATACATGAAAATTATCTAGTAGCAAAGGCAAAGCAGACTGAATTGATTACTTTAGCATCTTGAAGCTATACTGTCCAAAATATCCTAGGTGCGGTTCTCAACGAAAAATTTATTTGGTTAGGAAGGAACCGAAAGCTAACCGCCTATTAGCCTCGTTAATTATTTCATGAAATGATCAATTCTACATGACATCTTTATAGACCAATGCTACATGGGGAGAGTTATGTTACTTAACCCTCAACGATAAGTAATCTCTTAATACAGCTAAGAGTAGATAAGTATTTTCTGTAGATATAAAAATCACAAGATAAAAACACAAGATCATGCATCTAAAATGTGATTTTTGCACTTGTAATTTTTGATAAGATTCTGAGAACACTTTTTTCGAAATATAATTATTGTTACATATTAGATACTATGTCCTACTTTTTTCACACAGAAATATATACCAATATACAAAATATAGAAATCTGTATAGAATATACTATAATATACAGATTTTAAATAGTAGATATACGTATATATTCGGTCCTTACATATCAATTGACGTTTTGTCGTACCTACTGGCCACTTTGACCTCAAATACTCTTTCGTTAGGAATTCCAAATTCATTTTTTACAGCTATTTACTCACGAGTAAAGTAAATTTGTTTATCGAAAACCATGATTCATTTCATTTTCCCGTTCTATTTTTTTTTTCTTTGCGTCACTCTATTTATGAAATGGAAAACATGAAATATCGCGTTATTTACGAGTACGAGTTCCACCGTCGCACCAGTGCTGCTGAAACGGCTCGAAGGATTAATAATGTGTATGGCGGCGGTGTCGCAAAAAAAAACACAGTGCATTTTTGGTTACAACGTTTTTGTTCTGGAAATTTTGACCTGCAGAACAAGCCCCGTGGACGGCCGGAGACCAAAGTTGATAACGAAGAATTGAAGGCTATTCTGGAAGCGAATCTATCGCAAACTACGTCTGAGTTAGCTGTAGGCTGCGGTGTTAGTGATAAAACTATATTAATCCACTTGAAGCAAATTGGGAAGGTGAAGGCGGGTACCTCACTAATTGAGTGAAGCATATCGACAAACGCGCGTCGACTGCTGCGTTACATTACTACATTACTCAACTGACACTATAAAAAAGGGACTTTAAATCGAAACATTACCTGTGATGAAAAGTGGATCCTGTACGATAATCGGAAGCGCTCATTGCAATGGCTTATAAATGGATATAATGGCAAGGTAAAAAATTCAATTCTGATGGGGTTCGAGTACCTACCCCGCCGACAAAATTTTTATTGATTCCCGTCCGAATGTTTTTTTTAGTAAAGGGATCAAAGAACTGCCTATAGTCCTATAAGATGGCAAAAGTGTATAGATAGCAATGGTACATACTTTGATTAATTAAATATTATATTCTATTTAAAAAAATCTACTTTTTGTTCTTCCAATACAAAACGCAAATTTCATATGTAAGGACCTAATAGATCTACTAGGACCAAAACTAAATCTCGGTCAATCAGTTATGGAACGTACACAACTTCTTTTTAATGAATGACCTGAATACAAGGTCTCAGTAAAATATAAAATAAATTATGGTGTTAGTAAATTTTGGTGATCGAATTTATCATTGAAAAAAATATGATTGTATATAAAAACACCATTTATTCAGCTCTATATTATTGTCATCAAGACTTAAGAGGACTTCAAAACATCATAAACGTAATCCTATATGACAAGCATGACGCAAAACAACAGCCAATCAAAATCCAGCATTTAACACGCCCATGCTTCATGAAGTTCATGCTTGCGGTCCATGCCCGTCAGAGATATCTTATTTTCATTTGATAATTTATCTCCTTAGAGGCGCGCCTTCTAAGTGTGGCTTATGAAGGTTTTAGAGGACGTAGACCCAAAGAAGCCATTATATTAAAAGATATCTAAAGATATAAGAAGCTATCTATTCCGGGTTACAGATACCGGCAAACATCTTGAACAAATGTCCTTGCCTGCGCAGAAGCGATTTTTAGGTATCACTGGGAATGGGGGCGGCGAGAGAGTGACGTGTCGATCGCGTGATTGGTAAATCAGTTCACGTTTGTGTCCCGTGCGTCCCGTACGATGCGCAAACTTTACCCCACTCCCTTGTTTAATGCTCAAGAAGATTGCTGGTATCTGTACTCGAAATAATATTTTATTTTAATTTGTTTATACGTACGTGATTTTTTATCTACAAATCTTGAAATAGAAAAACATGATGGTGAAATATTTTATACAAATATTTTTAGTTTTCGACTTTCTACATACACTACTGTTAAGGCATCTTGAAAAAATGAAAAATTGAACTGCCTGAAATGTATGAGTGAAATACGGCGCGCGCACCGTGCACAAAATTACAGAATGAAGTTGCCCACGGAAGATGCTACGGCATTGGACAACAGTAGAACTCAATTATTCGAACTCCGCTATCCGAATCGCCTTCCGACCGTGGCCCGGCCGCCCGAAAACGGTTGAAGCCAAAAAAACTTACATTGACGGAGGTTAAAAAACAATGATTTATTCCAAGGACTTGTAAAAGTACATTTTATTTGTATTTAAAACATGTGAAAATTTTATGTTTCGTTCATTTAATTCAATAAAAAAATGTGGAAAGTTTATCAAAACGTAGCTTTTACTTCTTTCCAATGGCAATTTTTAAAAAAAAAATCCGACTGTCCGAATATTTGATTATGCCCGAATGGCACAAACCCGGTCCCCATTAATTCGGATGAAGTTGCGCACGGAAGTTGCTACGGCTACTGGACATAATTTAAAAACAACATTCGAATAATAATATAATTTATGTTACACTTAATGTAAGAGAATATGAAAATATATAATTAATTTCAAATGTAAACTGAACTTATTGACTATAATGACTCCATTCCAGCTTGATTATTTATTGTATTAATTATTTGCTGCAATCAAAAACTATTTTTAATAATGCTAACTTCTTACACGCTACATAACCCTTTTTTATTTAAAATGGTGGCTGCCTTTGCCTTGAAGAGTGTAACTTAAAACTCCATATTCTAGAACCATTTCGACGTCACAAACAGTGCACCTGGCTAATTTATTTTTACCGGGCCCGCCCCTAACCAGTCCTTAAATAAAACGATTTTTTCCCAATCGGGACGATATTTCTGTGCTCTCTGTTGTTTCTCTCTGTTGCAGAAAGCTCTCCTCTTTTGGCTAATTTCTTTTATGGTGTACCTGGCGCCAGTCGCTCTTATTCATTTTCAATACCCATTCTTGCTTAAGCGTATTAAAGTAACTCAAAAAACACTAAAGACAATATGCAGATCAAAAGTGGATATAATCACTAGAGCTCGAGACTGTTGAGAAAAACAGGTTTTTGTATATTCCAATACAAGTCTTTACAAATAATAACTTTTATAACAATGTACACAAATACAGACTTTATATGAAAAAAGAGTCTTTAGGTATAAAGAGTCTTCATTCAAGTAAAAAATCTAGGCATAAGTTAGGTTGTTGGGGAATTCCCCATACATAATACTTGCCGGTGGAGTATATTCGTTAATTCATTACGAAATGTTGCCAAGTACAGAAAAATCGTACATTTTCTGTACAATCTTGGTCTAGCGATCGTACATGAGTAAAAATGACAAAAAAATCGTAGAAGTACGATTTAAATCGTACATCTGGCAGCCCTGCTGTAGTGATTAAGTGTATTGTTGATGTACGGTTTTGACAATCTGTGAAAGACTATTTCAAAGAGTATACTTATATAATGGAAATACTCCAGTTCCAGCTAAGTTTTATATCATGCACTCTTAAGTTCACCCCAAACTAAAACAACCAGTACATAATAATAACGAGTATGTTAATGTGGTTCTGAAATATATTCCCATGTAAGTATACTGTATTCTTAATATTTATTAAATTCGTTCATATTAATTTTTATTAAGATTTTGTACGCTGAAAAACCGAAACTTTATAAAATTAATAGTCTGTATCACTCTTGACAATTGACAACGAAATTGGTTATTTCCGTTTCCGTTAAATAAATACTGACGTTATACGTATACGGTTACGGTATACTCATTACTCAATACTTTATAGTTTATACAGTCGGCCATGTTGTTTTCTTCTTGAAGATCATTGATTACTCGATTGATAATTTTGTAGAAATAAAATAGCTTTGCTAGTATTTAGTACAATTGTGATAATAATTTTAGTTAAGTTGATATAGATTTGAATTAGTGAATAAAGTTAAAGCCTTTGTGTCGATTATGGGCAGGAAAAAGAAGAAGGCATCGAAACCTTGGTGCTGGTATCCTTTTATAATAAAGTTATACAAAGATAAAAAAATTTAATGTAGAAGAATCATAATTTAATTTCCTTAGCGATTATTAGGTATTGTAACAGGGAATTCGATGATGAGAAAATTCTGATTCAACATCAAAAAGCGAAACATTTTAAATGCCACATCTGTCACAAGAAGTTGTATACGGGACCAGGACTATCGATTCACTGCATGCAGGTGCGTAGTCTGCCCTAAATCTTGGCACGTTCTCCGCCCGCCCACGCAATTGCGAAGTATTTTTTTAACTCGTACACTTATAGGTTAAAGATATTTTGGCACGTCGATTGAGCCAATTTTCGCGTGTATAGTCATTAATAATCATATTTTCTTAGTTTAAAGTCGTAATGCATTCGTTTTACGCTTTTCAGGTTCACAAAGAAGCCATAGATAAAGTACCTAATTCTTTACCTAATAGATCAAATATTGAAATTGAAATCTATGGAATGGAAGGTATACCCCCTGAAGATATTAAGGAGCATGAGAGGCAAAAGACAGGTATAAAATGTTTCTTTGAGCTAAGCTGTGTGGATCATGATGTATGTACTTTATTTTTCTATTTGCTTGGGACACTAGCATTAGAAGTAATTGATGTTTAGATGTAGTAGGCAGGCATAGTTGTTAATTAATATACTGTATCTATCATAATTGTGTAGGTGGCGGTAAGGTGTCTGACAGTGATGACGATGAACCTGCAGCAAAGAAAAAGGCTACAGCAGCACTTGTAAGATTTCTTTTTATAGCATATAGGTTTCAAACATAACTTAATTACAGTAATCACTGAAAGAGTATTTTACAAGTTATTGCTTAGCAGTTCAAAATTTAATTTTACATAACTTGTTACACTTATCATATAAAATGTTTTGTATTGCTTATGATATTTTGTAAACATGACCTCATTACATAATAAGATTAAAAACAAAGTAATGGTTCACCTAGTAGATCAAAATAATAATTAATTTATACAGTTTTTTTTTCTACTATGTATTATTATTATTACATTATTTTTATTTTATTGTGACTGAGGAGCAAACCAGCTGCTGTGGTCTCTGGCAGAATGACCAGCGCTGTGAAACAGTCTGCTCCTCAGCATAATGCTGAGCCAGGGCCAATCACAACCACAGCACACACGCATTACACAATTAAAATGTACTTTGTTCTTTTAAAAAAAAAAAGTGTTCTTTCATTATTTTTTTGATTATTGTTAGTTTTGGTGTTTCTGTGTGTTTCTTTTTTACTAGTATAATAATAATAGAAAACTAATATAATTTTAAAAAGTTTCATCCTGTCTTAGTGTACCTATTCAGCTGGTAGGATAGGACAGTATATTGTGATACTTATTTGTTAGGCACCTTGTTAAAGCTTATAGATTAACATGAGTTATTTTAGTTCGTTTCAAAAAGCATTGAAATTTTAATAAATTATGTTTTAAATATGTACTATTTACAGTTGGGGCCAGGACCATCAACCTTAACTCCAGGAATTTTACCAACCCCAATGGGTCCTGTACCTCCTGGAATGTATCCAGGGCCAATGGGGATGAATCATATGATGCCACATTTCATGCAACAGAGGTAAAATTTTTGTCTTTTAAAGCTTATACTTTATCACCAATATTGCCAAAGTACTATTCTACTTCATGTCACTATTTTTACTTAATTCCTTTTGTATTAAAAATTTTCAACAGAAATTAAAGAGTGGTGTTTTAAAAATATTTGTATAGTTAGTGTATTTTGGCATGCATATTATAAAGCATATTTCAATAAGAAATTGCTACTCAAGTAATAAAGTAAATTGTGCCTCTAAATTATTTATTCTACATTATTTCATAACTATTTATTGAAAATTTCCTTAACTATGCTGTTGTAATATGTGCAGTGTAACTGCCAATGTATAATCACTTTACATTAAGTTCCTTCTATTACTTGACTCAAATTGTTCTGTGGTTGCGGAGATGCCTTGTTCATTGTTGTATAATGTAGTATTTCTTTCTATGTAATGACAATTCTCTATAAGATCAGAATGTGCAGTCCATTCAGCTTTGTTACATAAAGTTTACACTATAATTAAATTATTCTAAATGTAATTGTTCTAAAATATAATATATTGTCACTTTTCAGAATGATGATGCCAGGCATGAGGCCTTTGTTCCCTGCTGCAAGTGTAGCTGTCTCGACACCCAGTAAACCTACCTTTCCTGCATATAGGTAAATATTAGTAAACAAATTCACTCAAAAATAATTATTGGTCAAACACACTTTACAATAAAACAAGCATAATCTAGTTGGTCATTATATTATTATTAAGATAATTATTTAAGAAATATGAACTATGTAATTTTACAAAAGTAGCATCAGCTGAATAATTTACTGCAAATAATGGCCAGTTACTGCCGAGGCTTAACTTTTTTACTACTTTACAGCAATGCCACAATAAGCGCACCACCCACAACATCAACATCCTCTGAACTAAGAGAGAATGGAGATGTCAAACCTCCAGCAGCCAACACTTGTCCACTGGTCACAGCCACAGGCGCTGGATCCAAGATAATTCATCCACCAGAAGATGTATCTTTAGAAGAAATTAAAGCGAGAAATGCTAAATTTAGGCCAAAACCGAAACCCGATGCTCCAAGCACGCCAGTTTCCGCTCCGCCTATGATTGCTCCTAGTACCAGCCAGGCTGAAGTAATTACTTTTTCTTTATTGTATATGGGCTTTCTTTGGCTATGGTTATGGGGCATTAAGTCATTATTGTTGTATTGTGTCAGTCTCTTGTATCCCTTTGCAAAAAAAAACGGCTTGTTCTTATACAGAAACATTTAATCTAAGCTTTCTGGTGATGGTTAAAATAGGTACAAATATTAGCATGAGTTACTTGCAATTTAAAGTTTGAGGTCAAAATATAAAATACAGTTAAATAATTATTATTTTTGTATACCTTTTCAAAGAACTAAATATTATTAAAAATATGTAACAATTAACAGTAGATAAAAAGTTAAGAGACATTCCTCCAATATTGCAATAATCAGCCCGCAAAATCAGCATCAGCACCGATCGTAAAGCTCAACTTCCAGGTGGCCGCTCACATGTCAGCAGCCGTGGCGGCTGCTCGCCAGCAGGCAATGCGTCGACCGATGCCCATGGGTATGATGGGTATGCTTGGGCAGGTGCGAGTACCCGTCCCGGTATCCATGCCCGTTCCAGTCCTGCCCGTCATGCAACAGTTCAACCTCATGCGGCCAATACAACCCGGTCAGTATTACACACATTAGGCTTCAACAATGCGTTATTGAATATATTATGGAAAACGTCAAATTATATAATATTGGGAGTTAAAATATTAATGTTATGTAATTTTGGGAGTCTAGATTTTTTAGGACAATTTGTATTATCCAGAATTGATCTGAATATGTATTGCATCAGTGTTTATTTCTGTCAATACAACCCTAAGAATGTTCCGATTTTAAGTTAACACATCCAATTGTTTATGTACTTTTAGTTTGTTGTTCATTAAGTAAAAAAGTAATAATTGATACTGATTTTGGACAATTTAAATATTCTGGTTTTAATGCAAACTTAAATATTGTACTTATAATGTACAAAACGTGTCCCAACTTTAAAATTGGACCAAAATAATGAGATTTTTTTACATCAGGCTTTGGTTGTATCCAACAAATTTATCCTTACGTTATCCTTACCTTGTGGTAAATAATGAGCTTTTTATGGTCAAGTTTATAGAAAAACAAGATTAAAAATAAGGTGTTTTTATATTGTCGCATTTTGATCTACACTATGTGGAAATACTGATACATTAGTCAAAATATTTCTTTAAAGCCCAAGCAGTTTACATATAAATTTCATGTTTGAAGGTTTACTGGTATATTGTAAAGTACTGAATTTCTATCGCTAATGATTAATGCTTTTTTCGTCCTTGTACAATGCGCCGCGTAATTTACAGAATTTTTCATATCAAATGTTTTTTAAGGGTTTTTGTTACATATTGTATACCTAAAAAAATATGCATTCATAGCCAACGTAGATTTTTTGTTTGCGTAATTTTAATTTTAAACATTAAAAATAAGTTTGAAAGTGTTCCGATATAATAATATTTTGATTTGTGAACACTGGCAACTACCCACCTTATTTTAAAAATTGTATTCTTCTACGTGAAGAAATTGTGGTGGCTTATTTTATATGAAAATAGGCCTAAGATATGCATTTATTTGTCGTCGTGATATTAATGCATTTAGGTGTAATTTAGTATAGTTTGTTGCACAATTACTGTATAGTTTAAAAAAATCCAATCACGTAACGCATCAATAATAATCAGAGATATTTCTCAATGTTGATTTAGGTAAATGTAAGTTAATTTCTCAGCACACTGGGTGTTATGTACCAATACTTTTCACTTGCTCAAGCATAATGTAACTTAATTATAACATATCAGCGTGGAAAATGGATTGTCTTGAATAAAATACAATATTTTCGTGTCTAATTGTTTTTCTATTTTCCACGACACCTAAGCTATCGTTAAGCAATTGGTTGTTTAAGTCGATGATCGAGTTGCGAGAAGCCGGTGGGTGTGTCTCATTGTTGTACGTAACCTGTATTTAGACAACTCTAACAGACGAGCCTTGTCAAAACACTCAAGATATTTAACTGTGATTTCGATGCGCCAACCGTCCGAGCGTCGGAACGAATCGGTAATTTTATTCACATTAATGGATTTGCTTACTGTAGTAGCTCTATCTTATTACTGTCTCGATTTTTCTCGTAGTGTCATATGATATGTGAATATTTGTCGGTTATCGGGTGGGTACACTAATATTATTTTACGTAAAGTAGTTTTGTCGCTTTAAAATGTGCATGAACCGAAGACATCGGAATAGCGATTGGCTGAAATGGAAGACCTCGGATCACCGGTACATGCATGTCGGTTCAAATTATTACGCAGAGTAACTTTTTTTGGACAGTGTGATTTTTCATGTGAATTATTTATCCTACCTGTGTTACTTCGCTTATACTGCACCTTACCAGTCGCCACACCCGAGTGCGTATATGACGCACACATTCCTACATGACACGTGTACTGTCCCGGGACATAACACCATCGACACACCGCTTATTGTAACTAATTCCCATCGTTATGGCATATACACACTGTGGGTGTCGGTCCGGCGAATGTCCGGGCGACAGGCGATTGTTCAGCAGTCACAACGGCTCAGCCGTGTGTTGGACCGCTTGGGGGTTCCTATAAGTTTCATAAGCTGGTTTTTATGTAACGTTGGATCTTCGTATTGTAAATTGTACTAACTCATTAGACGCCACTACAATGCACGGAAATTCGATGTTATGTTAAATTAGTCCAGATATGAATCGTGTGGGAACCCTCCTGGTCCCCTGTTGACTCGGTGTGGGCTAGGAGGAGGGATAACTATTACACCATATCCGATTATAACACTCTACGCATACCAAACGGCCCGAGAACAGCGTTCAATCATATAAAATAGTTTTCCTTCAAATCAGTATAGTAGCTTATACCATCTTTTTTGGTTTCAGTATGTTATTTTAATCGTATCATCGTAGCACATTGTCTCAACCTTAAACATTAGTTGGTCGCCGTTGTCCAAGGCCGTCGTGTGCGTAACTACAGCCGAGCTAAAGTAATAATAACTTGTATGCGCAGGTATGCTGCTGCCCGGCGGGATGATGCAAATGGGCGCCATGTTCCCTGGTGGGGTTCCGGGATTACCCATGATGCAGCCGCGATATCGGTAGCTGGGATTTAGGCTAAACGACCCACACTAGTCTCGCACGCCGCTAAGGTAGGCGCTCTACCGATATGCTTGCCTACGACGTTGAGGTTTTTTCATCTCATTCTCTTTCTAGCTTGAAATCATGCTGTCTCTCTTTAACCTTAATAATTAGAGGGTGATGTCATGCTTTCTTGTCATGTTCCCTTTGAAATTGACTGAATATTTGAGCTTTAAGTTTGAAATTCTAAACGCAAGTCTTAGAAAAAAAATTAAAATTTAATACGTAAGAAAAAGTCTCAATAGTTAGTGGCGTACGTTCCGCTAGTGAATCGAGCCGGTGACGGTTAAGCGGGGCAAGGTAAGGCCAGCGCGAGGATGGGTGACCACCACTAGCAGCAGTAAGTGCGGCGCGCGGGACAGGTGATGCGAGTCGCCCCGACGTCACTGGTGTGCGGGGACCTTCATCATAGAAAAGAAATAGCGCCAAATATCATGGCCAATTGCAATATGCCATACCTAACGAAGCTTAATATGTATAACGCGTACGTTCCACCTTTTCACTTCATCCCACACCTTGAAGATTGGCGCTAATTCTTCCGGTTTCTATGTTTAATTTGTGACAAGGCAGCATAAACAAGATGGCGGCTGTTGTCCTCTGTCGTCAAAGGTCCCCGCTACACGCTGCGCTGACATTGAAACAGTACGTCATAATTTTGGGTCTAGTATAGTGGTAATAGTTATTGTTAATAATTGTGAACTGTTTCGTATGTCTGTGCGTTGTTTGCGGGTTGGGCCGGCAGTTCCCTGTGCGATGACGCTACATTAATATTTTATTTGAGAAATTTTAAATCTTCATATTAATACTAAAAGCCAACCTCGAATAGCTATTATATTGATGACATTCTAAAAACTTAAGCTAAAGTTGAAATGCTAAATTAATGAAGCGTCAAGTAACAGGCGACTCGAGTTCTGTCACAACACAAGTTGTTGGATTGGCGGCCCCCTGTCCCTTAGCGATATTTAAACAGCCCGCGCCATTAAGACGGGCGTTGTAGTTAATTTAAAGTTAAAAGTGTGTAAGAGTAACAATAAAATGTTAATGTTATATTTTCGCCTTGAACGTTTTTTCCTTAAGAGTTTCCACAAGTTGTGACGTTTGCTCTACTCGTGTAGAATTTTGACAGATTTACTCAATAAAATGCTCTCAGATGGAATTTTGTTTTATTTATATACCTTAATAACTAATTGTATGACGTCGTGACAGCTCGAGCTATGACTCCCATATGTCAATGTCGATACGATCTTTTTGACGTACGGAAGTTTTAGAATCTTAACCCTTAAAGTTAACTTAAGCCATTTAGGAAAGATTGAAATAAATTCTACAAAGATACAATTAACTTATTAGGAGGGTTTACCCAATATAGTAGAACAATCGAAGAGTCGAGATTAACAATATTTTTGATAATACCATGCTAATTACAACATAGGGTACATAAATAAAAGTCTTTGTTACATAATAAAGCCATATATTGAATCGTTAAAGGTCTCACTTGTATATGTAACGTTATAATACAAGAACTACGCTAATTTGCAAGATAATACCAATGCCCCGTAACTATACGTAATATAAAATCTAACTAGTATCACCGTCAAACCAACACGTAACTGATTTAAACTTGGTAAAATTCACAACAGATTTCATAAAACAAAGGACGCTATAAAAATTAAATTTGTCAACGAATCGCTATCATCTATTTCACTAATATAATATGGCAACACTGTCCAAAGTATGTAAATACAGTAAACGCTAGAACGAAGCTAAACGCTTTTTTGGTCTGATAACTTATTTTTCGCTAATTGTACAATTTTCGTATAATAAATGCTACAAAATTTGAGCTTTCCCAAATCACAATACGACAGAATATGAGGTTAATCAAAATATGTACTAGTTCCTTTAAATATTGCCAGCTCTAAATCTAATCGATATGTATGGTCGATGGTATTAAGTAGTTGAAGTAAATAGATCACAACCCTTTCTAAAAAATACCATATTTACAATGTACATTTGGAATCCTTGGCACCTAATTTTTTTACTTAATTTCTTAAATCGCAGATTCCACATGTATATTGTAATGATGACCAGGCTGGTAAGACAAAGTAAATGTTGAAATGTGTATTGTGAGGGCACCATCTTTAACTAAAGAATTGCTTTCGACCAACACCAGGACTAATTTAGGTTACTAATGCTATAAATTGAATAAAAATTTAGAAATGTAAATTCAACAACCTACTATTCGCCTCTTACCTGAGTCATCTATGATTTGTCTAACTGATCGGGCGAAGGGGTTATGGTCCTAAACAATATGTCGAAACCCGGTGACGCGGATCGCAATACATCCGGACACGGAGTGCTGGTTCGCGTCATACTCTCAAACCTCTCTCTCATAGCGGCCACGTGACCGGCCATTACACTGTTCCTATCGTCCCTTTCCTTATCCGAATCTTCAAATTGGGCCAACTCGTCCGACAGTAAAGATACTTCAGACGAGGCGTAATTTCGGTCAACCTTTTCCTTATCCGGTTGGCACATTTCATCAGAGAGTAAGGACACTTCAGACGAGGCCGTGTAATATTCGCTTATCGGTTCACAAACTGTCACCAGCTGATCCGCAGCGGAGACCTCTTCGACGACAGAGTCGCTCCATTTCTCGACCCGTCGGACCACTACCTCGTCTGAGGGGACCAACTCTGGTTCCTTCTCGTCATAACTTGTCTTCATGTTTTCGCAGAGTCGATTGATCGCGTCCACGACCTCTCCTAGGTCGCTGACGTCTTCGGCGGGCATTGCGACGTCGTCTATCGGGAGGGACAGGTCGGATTCATTTGTTTTCGTTGCGTATTTGGCTGGGAAAAGTAACGCGTGAGCCACTGAGAGCAGGGCGTGAGCGGGATGTGCGTCTGGGACGAGGTGAGCCGTGGTGGCCGAGCGTGTGTTGGGGACGGGGGCAAAAGCCCCCGGCGGTCGCTAGCAGGCGCTCGACGTGCCCGTCCAGCCCTCGAGGGGCACCTTCAGCGGGGGCGGCGGCGCTTGGGCCTTACTCACTGTTGACAAACACTTTTAATTAGTATTTATCACCGGTACATCCTGTAGCGACGTGAATATACATTAAATGAACTTGGCAATAAATGTAACGTAAAGTCGTGCGATGTATTTTGAATGATGTTATTATGATTAGTTATGTATGAAAGTGAGGGTCATATTTTGTTAGGTTTGATTAGGTATACGTCGAATTCCGCGTTTACAAATAAGAGTTAAAATTATTATTAGTGTCGATTATAATATTGTATTACGTGCAAAATTCATGCCATGCTAATTACTAAAACTGAACTTACCCGTTCATGCTCGTTCAATAGATCAATGCACTATTAACAAAATAGAGTATTATTAAGAAATTTACCCCATATTTAAACTACAAAATACAGATAAAACATACAAGATTAATACGAAACTACTACTCCCAACAAGGTATACCCATTTCTTCTAGGAATTAATTTGATGAATAATGACAATGTTAACCCATAATGAGAACCAGTCTGATTATGACTCTGTTCTTAAATAATAATTTGAATTTGTCGAATCTTATAAACATCTTTAACAATATATTAAGAAACAAGGACATCTAACCTGTAAGAAATGCGATTTAAACAATACAAAAGCTCGGGACAACACAGTGTTAGGTTTAACAATGAAATACTCGACAACGCTGTAAAATATTAACTGTTTTATTGTTCAAAAATATAAATTTAAATATTAAGCATTTTACATCCGTATCACATACCAGAAAGCCTAAATCTCTCGGCTGTCCCTTGCAAAAATGTTCGGAAAAGTGACATGAATTTTTCCAATTGGAAGCACTTGCCGGCAACCGAGAGATTGCTTTTCATATAATTTTCCAAGCAGGCATTACGTTCGCAATAATGGCACCTCACTAGTAACAAATTTGATCTACACATACATCTACGTGCGTAGAAAAGAACATATTCATGCAAATTAAAGTCTACAAAATATATAAGTAGAACTACGTCATTAAAAAAGCAAAATAGCACCGTTTTTAATGCGAACTTTGTAACTTAATAATAATTCGAAACACGTTTATAATCTACGTGAATATGATCTTTAAACAAACAAAAATGCAAAAATACTATTATAATACTATGACTCAATATACCTAAAATATATCGTACGATATGTTAGAATTTTGGTAATTATTTTTTTTTGCTAACGATTTAAGTCTTGCCCGTCGGCATAAACAACAACATTTACACTTAATCAGCTAATTTCTTATGTAAATACAAATTTGGTTTTACGGGAACGAAGAATGCTGGTGGAACATGAAATGGTTCCCAAACCGATGACAACAAAAAGTGGATAAGCGTGAAATTTTTAAAGATAAATGCTTTTTGGACGGGAAGAGTTTCACATAGACAAATATTGGACAAAGACGACATGCACTTACATGCAACTGTAAAGAGGAGCATAGACAAAATAGACATTCCCTTATACAATTTGGTTCATACTTCTAAAATTATTATGCCAAATTCAATTGTACCTAATGCTCTTAAACAACTTATTTACATATTTTAATTGTATACATTATGACTAAAGAGCAATATTATGTGCGTTTCGCTCTTTCGAAAAATTTTCACAGACAAGAATAAAAATTAAAACTACTAATTTTATAAGTGTAATTATTACAAACCACATAAATTAATTTTTTTAAAGCAATCAAAAAATTTAAAGCTGCCAAATGAGAACTGTATTAAACTATAATATGGGAATGTTTAGAAATTGATAAAAAAAGTAATTTTATACAAACAAAATAGTTTGTTCCTATAGTAACAGCAGTTCGTACTGAGGTACACATACATATGTTAAATTTATATGAAACAATTAAAAACGGAGAAAGTCTATGTATATGTATGTACATATAGGTCCATAATGTTTTTGGACAAAGATTTGGTTTGGAAATTCCTTTGTTCGTGCTTGGCTTGTCCAATTGACTCTGAATATCACCCTTAGTTTTTACCTAAGTAAACTTAGCTCAAAATTTTACAATATATAAATCAAAACAATAGCAATATTGGGTTTTTAGTACCCTTCAAAACATATTTTGTCCAACAAGTTAAATATAACTGTCATATGAAACATTTTGACATTTGAAAATGAACAGAATACTATTTATTCCTGTGAGGCTTAAACATCAGTGTGACCTAACTCTCCCAACTGTCAATACAGGGGATAGCTAGTTTAACTGTTTCTGGCTCTGGTGGTATGGACGAAAAACTTCAGCCTACCACCGGGGTAAAATAATCTCTGAATTTTAGTCTACGAGTTACTATCCCATTGACTCGCTCTAAGCGTACTTACCCTGTGCAGAGGCACTGCAATAGCCTTTTGTAACGCGTAGGAAAGGCGGCGGATCAGGGAATGACGTCATCGGGTGGAATAAAGCTGCGAAGCGAGCGTCAAATTCGGCCGCGCGTTCGCGTATTGACGAACCACGGACGGGCGGTGCAGGCGCGTGGGGTTCTTCGTTTGTGCTCTGGAATTTTATAGTCATCAATATGATAATAAATGGGTTTTAAAGTTAATTAGAGAGAGAGACTACCATAATCTTTATTGATAACCTTACTTCCATGTATCTCATGTACTGTAACTTTCATGTAGAAAATAATTTTTTAAATTCATGGAATTTCCTAATTTTATCATGTAATATTGATTTCTTACATTTGATTCTAATCAATTAAATATCAAAATATTGAATAAATTATGACAAAACAAGCGTTTTCGATGTTACTTGTAGTTTTGGATTTTATTTAACTTTATTTACTTAATTAAAAGGGGTTCCTAAATCTAAAAATAGTAATGCATACGTACTGATAACAGATATATAGAGACTTAACACATATAAATTACTTACGTTCAGCCTATAATGCGGCGGGGGCGGCGGAGGTTGCGCCAGCGAAGCCCCTCGGGCAGGGGGCGGCGGCGGTGCTCCAGGGGGAGGAGGCGGAGCACCCGGAGGTGGAGGGGGACAAACCCCGGGCGGGCGCAGGCCGCGAGGTGCTCGCATGGTACCTGGTGAAAGTTTCAAACATAAATAGCAATTACGGAAAGTAGAATCGCATAGAATAAAGTAAATAGAATCATTGAAATCGCAATAAAGTTGAGTGACACATCTCAGGCGCCGAGGTCTTCATATAGGTATGTGAGTAATTAAAAAATGTAATGAATGTAATGCTTTTAAATTTATACTGGCTGGAGAACGGACGAGAACTTAACTCTCCACTCTTTTAAATCGCCAAGTTTTTGTTTTACAAAATATTGAGAAACTGCAATCAAAGAGAGATTATGCTCCTCATCACATCTCAAAGCAGTTAGTTAACTATTATAATAAAATAAACAAATAAAAAAATGTGTTGTCTTGTGTTTTTGATATATAATTTAATTTTATATCTTACCAAAGTGCGATGCGTTGTTTTTGGATGCAATTGGCGGGTTATGGGGCGCCGGGGGCGGCTGCGGGGGCCGAGACAGTCCCGGAGGGGACGGCGGGGACACCGGAGGCGACCTGGGGCATTAACTGTTTATTAAGATCTAAAAGTTAAAACCCGATGTTTTAATAAGGGCTGTCTCTATGATTTAGTCACTACTGGTAATCGGTAAATATATAAAAATTACTTTTATACCAAATTTTAGGATAATCGCGCTCCACACGCAAATAGAATTGCAGATATTTATCTATAATTCTTAATATCCTATCCATAAGGCCCATAATTAATTCGTAATATCTTAAAATAATAGTATTCTAAATTAACTAACCTAGGCACTCTCATACTCTGCGCCCTGGCAGCCAATTTTCCATTAACAAGGAGCTTCTTAGGCGGTGGTGAAGGCCTGTCGGGTTGGTTGGTCGGCGGTTTGGGAGCCAAGTTGGGCTTCCCATGGCTGACTCTAGGCCGCTCTGATAGATCCGAGGTGGACAGCGAAGACGCTGGCGTGGCCGCCGGCGGCGCTGTTGTAAGAGAAGTCATGGAACCACCTGGAATTTGCGATAAATTTTTTAAAGTGTATGTGTAAGAGTAATTACGATGTTAGTAAAAAAAAATTCAGTATAAAGTTATTTTAAAGAAAAGTTATTCTGCGTATTAAAAGCTCTTTGTAAGGTTGCATTGTTGTTTGCATTAAAAGTCTATTACGGGGAAATTGCAGCCTGCGATTGTTCCGAGTATTAACATTATGCGTATGTTCTATTCTACTATAAATGAGTCGTGAATAAAGCGAAATCTAGGGAAAGAGTATGTTAAACAAAAGACAAAACAAGCGTGTTTCATGGGCAAGCAAGCAAGTGCAATTATCGATACACGATACAATCAGACTTCACCATGAAACCAAAACCAACATCGTTTTCGTATTCGTATTACATTCTTTTAGTAATGCAGATATCAATGGGTCGATAATACTAGTAAAATTCACAGTCCAAACTTAGCGCTAAGCACTCCCATATGTCAAACACGTAAGTACTTATACCGTATACCTTTAGAGGACTACTTTAAGTCTTGGGGACACTTATGAGGCTTTCATATGTATTGTGCATTCACTGACGTTAGCCAGGACATTTTTCATATTATTAAAATAAAATGCATTCTTACCCAAAGACGTCTGAGAGCCCGAGTGCAACGAGCTCCTATTGCGGTGCAGCGTGGAAGCGACATTAGGAGGCAAATTCTGCTCGGAACTCACTCGCTCCGTCACACCCGTAGTTAGAACCGAGTCTGATGTACTCTGTAATTTAAAAGTATCAAAGTAATATTAATTAAAGTGTTTGTGAAATTCATCAATCGCGAATAAATAAATGTTTTAAACAAGTCTTCTAGAACAAAATTACTGAAGAATAAAATTATCTCTATATTTTCATCCTATATTAAAATATGACATTTTCGCGTCGTTGGTAGTGCACGACCAATAGTATAATGCATTGAAAATAAAAAAAATATTAAAAACGGCTATTTTGTTTATATGAAAATATTACTATGAATGCAAATGAAATTACTAAAACATTTGATATAAGAAAAAATTAGTCCATCAACTCTTTCGCGGTAATAGCTCTAAAATTTTAACTCATAAAAAAACGTAGTATGAGAACCCCAGCTTTTTAAACACGGCTAATAAAACAAATTTATTAAAACACGTCAAAGGTCGGCCATATTAAGTAATATCCTGCTCGTTACATTCATTACAATATTGGCGGAAGCTATACAATAGTATTACAAAAATGCCTACTAATTACTATTAATCCTACTAGTACTACATTTTCCCTTTGTTGCGCAAATGATGCAGGCCAATCATTAAGTTTATTATTACGCTAGGTACGCTGTTAAGCATGTTGTCAAACAAAACTATGGGCGATTAAAAAGAGTATCGGAGCTTCTTTCTATCCAGTTATTGTTGTCTGTTCAACGCCCTTGATTTGGGAACCGGTAGTAAATGCAGATTGAGATGTTTTTATATGCCTAGATTAAGTTATCTATATAAATGATATTTTGGTTTAACATCAAGTTGAATATAAATAAACATACAAAACACTGTAAATCACAACAAAATTATATACAAAAGGTAGCCCGCTCTATCCTATTGATAGTTGTGCCATCAAATAAGTTATAAAAACATAATAAATAGACTATTACGGCGGTAGCGATCGTGCTCTTAGTTTTCCATTAAATTATCTCAAATATATAGACAATAAACTAGATAAACATATATAGTGAGGCTCAGCTAGGAAAGTTTACGCCGGATAAAAAAATAAACGACTGATTTGATACGACAAAAGACGTTTTTTACTGACTTTTGATTGTATGTGAAAAATTGTAAACAATTTTTTGAAATCTTAAGTAAATAGCTTATTTGTTAAACTATTAATGAATGACTCTGATGCTATCTCTAACACTGTATGTAATATAGGAAATCTAGAGCTGGGCACTTTGTAACTTCCAATAGGGATCCCGACGTTATTGTACGTACGCAAGTTCGATGTTCGAACTTGGGAACGCGCGGAACAAAAACTCATTATTGGGATCGCGATCACTGTCGGTATTGCTATTAGAATTACAGAGTAAGGGCTCGGTGCATATGTGTTTATTACTATATACTAAGTGTTATTGTGTTATTCATCTATATTTTATAACCGGAAAACAATATCATATCCTTGTTATGGTTCTACGTACGAAGTACCTATTGCCAGGTCGTTGATGAGGGTGGTATAAGGACCAAATATATTGCATAAGCTACAACGATTTTACTTCATTTAATCACGAAATAGAAAGATTTTAAAAACATTTTATAATGGAACCAGTTGCTTTTGACTTTTAATATTGATATTGCATATGTTAGAAGTAAGATAACGAACAGGCTTAGCACCAGACATCCGAATAAACTTAGCAAACAGAAAATATCGTCTACAATCTTAGCTTTGGTGTAAAGATTAAGTTATTTGGTCAATACTGTCAACTTTTCCATATAAATTACATTCGCTTCGAGCTTAGTTTGTAACGCATATTGATTTTCCATTGATTATGTATGATTCCCAGCCAAACAATAATTTCGTCTAATTGGTAGTCACAGAAAGCTGAACACCATTGACAAACGATCGATGAACGGATGCCGTAATGTATTTTCCCCATGCCCCAACAGGGGTTACTAATTGAACGGAATTGGAACGGTTCCTGGGTATGCTTTTAAAGTACATATACGAAAACAGACAATTAAGAAGATTACACGAAGTGGATGAATGTTTAAAGGAAATCGACGAATCTCTACATAATACACAGATTTAGCTCCCATTATTTAAAAAGAACTGGTAGTACAAAGAACTGGTTGGTATAAAAGAAAAAAAAATTAAGTAAATATTTTTCTTACAATATACAGTGTTAAATCTTTATAACGTCATTCGTTATTAACGAAAATCTCTCTATAACGTAAGCATGATGTACATTTGTTTTGGTTTAACACAAAACCCATACATTAATTCACTGATTATAACGTACAGCCACTCTTTATGACGAAGAAATATTTTCATCTTTAGACATGAACAACATACTTAAGTGTAATTGTTTTTATTATCAGATTACAAAACTAACCTATTGAGGTGCCGAAATTTCTAAGAAAGACATCTGAGGTCATAAACAGCCTTCTTGCCTTTGTTATTGTTAATTGCATTAACACGTGTGCCATTATATTTAGATTACATTGCCTGTAGGAAATTTTAGTCTCAGTTATTAAACGCACCATTGTCACCTATATATATATATATATTATATATATATATATAAATTATTGTAATTGGTTAAATTTGGTGGGTTTTCTCTTCCCTCTCTATAACGTAAACTCACTATAACGAAGTAAAATGCCCGGTTCCCTTGTATTACAAAGTGCAGTAATAATTTATTTCTGAATTCGTCAACATCTATATAAATATGAAAATCACGGCACTCAATAATTCAATAAAATTTGCCTTCTGTTCTAGACACGATAACGTATTTACCTACTTCGTCGAACTTTCCCTTGCCTATAGGGCAAAAAGTGGTAAATGGTCTACTGCCAACCGCATGATTACCATTAGAAAACAATCGTGCATATGTGCCAATATCATTTGCGGTGTAAATGACACATTGTGAGTCACGGATGACTAAGTGATCACATAAACATAAGGCTCGAAGGGAAAACTGATAATGGTGATTCATACCGGACAGTTTCTGACCTTATGGTAGACCTTGAGGTATATTGAATAAAATTTAACTCAAAAACAGAAGATGTTTCTTCTATGTTTTTAAGTTAAATTTTAGCGAGTCTAAGGCCTACGCTACGTGTAACACTTATTCTATCTATATAAAAATTTTTTTTATAAAAAACTACAATGATTGTTTTTTATGTACCATTTTTGTATTGTATATAGACCCGGAGGATCATTAGGCAATATTACGTGAAATTATTGTAAATTTTAAATAGCTACTAGGTACGTTAGTTATTAACTGAACCACAAATTTAAAAATTATTTGCAGGAAACTGCAGGATAAATTTATTATCTTTGTGGTATTTTGACTGAGACAAATCTTCACCACAAAAGCAACAGGAAATCACATTGGAATTCTTAATTTTGTTTTCCCCATATAAGATTCAACAATTAGACTAAATATATGATGATTGTGAGATTCGAATAGAACCGCGAAGTATTTAATATGATATTCGAACATCTACGTTTGCAAAGCAGAAGCTTTAAGAATAACTATCTCCCAGGTACTCCAAATAAAGTTCACTATGGGTTTTACTTTTAAACAATCTCCCACATATTCTAATTTAAATAAATAAAGATTGGGAATCATACCCACGCGCGTATTATAAATAGAATAATTGAAATAAACGTTAGGTACAAAAACCATTCTGGTCTCCAGTACATTAAACGTTTTCAAGATGGCATCGAATTAAAATATGTAGTAGTCTTTTTATTTTCTATTTATTTCTTTAACATAAACATAATTATCTTATCTTATTAATTATCTTAGCGTGTTGTTGAAAAGTAAATTAAATAAAAGTTGTAATTAGATTATATATAAATATATTTTAAGGAATTTATATTTAAGTTTGTTATGGAAGAGCTGGGAACCCTGACACAGGTATTTCTTACTTAAAAGGTTTCCCAAATCTTACACATTGTAATGCATATCTACTTAAAATGAATAAAGACATTTTTTTTATCACTCTAGTATCACTTCTAAAATAAATTGACATACCTATTATGGCTCATAAGAGTGTTTACGAATAAGATACTGTCAGCATTTCTAGTAGACATGTGCCTGAGTCTTTATTTTATTATCTTCTGTAATAATGTAACTTTGGAAGGGCAAAATAAACAACTGGAGATAGATTGATGTATTAGTGCAGATATTATAAAATTAAATTTGATATATTTTCTATAATCTATGCGACCATAAAAGATTAACCTTCACCTTGCTAAAGTCGCGATAAATGTCAATCCGATTACTAACAGGTTGCTGCCCTCCAAACTAGTCGTATTTTAAAACTATAGTACATATTTCCGACTAAAAGTATGTTCTAAAGATTAAGTATTGTATGTTAAATATTTAGCCAAATTGATCAAGCTACACATGAAACTTGCTTAAGTTTTTGAATGATGAAAACAATAATCAACTGGCATTTTGATCAATATTAATTTTGTTATCTCTCATCGTTTTCCTCCAATTATGGCTGCAACTTTCAGATACAAGTACTACCCTTGAGTACCAAGGATGGTTGGAACGATACGCGATGTTAAAAACCATTGATTTTATATTGTGGGATGAGATTTGTCATTGTATGTTGAAACAATGGTTAGGACGTGAAATTTTCTAACGACTCATTATTTTCTTTATTTGCAGTCGTATAATAAGTTGAAATAATAAGCTTTATTTTAAATCTGTAAAACGGTGGTTTGATATTTGGATTTCATTTGATAAAACAATATAAGAATTTACAATTACGATATGATTGCTAGTGTAATGTAATATGTAACTGCTATATAAAATTCTACCTTTTAATTATGTAAGACAAATATACACGCCGCTATGTGAAGTTTAGATTGTACCACAATAATATTTTTATAGCATATTCTTGCAAATAAATTATTCTTATTTACCCTCCTTATCGTGTCTTTATATGTGATGAAACTAGAGAAACATTCATAAGTATTATTAGAAAGGTCAAGAAATATTTTTTTTGACGATTTTGGTTTA